GGCAACGGCAACGAAATAGGAGGGACGACGACGAGACGCCGACGGCGGACGACGATGTCGAGGGAGGAGGAAGGACGACCAGGATGACGACGACGGAAACGACGACGACGCCAAGACGACGACGACGACGAGGAAAAACAGAGGACGACGGCGACGACGGCGACGACGAGGGAGGAGGGAGGACGGCGACGACGACGACGACGACGACGCAAGAGCGCGCGCGCACGCTTTTGTTGAACATCTGTGTTGCGAAACCCTGTGTTTTGTATATTTTTGGACGCACGATTTTGAAATCCTTTCGAAACTGAAGGTGTTTGAAGGATTTCGGCATGCGCGCGCGACGACGCGCGCGTGTGCACTCCGTCCGATTTTTTGCAGAGGGTTCTCGCGACGGCACGCGCGCAATGGCGTTCGAAAGATTTCGACATGCGCGCACGCGAAGCCCGTTTGGTAGTTTTTTGAACATCTTGAAAACCCGATGGTTTTCTGAAGATTTCGCCAGAGCGCGCGTAAGCTGTTTTAGAAAATCAGTGTTGCGAAATCCTGTCTGTTTCTACGTTGTTTGGGAACTCGATTTTGAACTCCGTCCGAAACCTAAGGTTGTTGAAGGACTTCGGCATGCGCGCGCGACGACGCGCGCGTCTGCTCTTCGTCCCATTGTTTGTAAGGGATTCTTGGAAGTACTATTGAACATCTTGAAAACCCGATGGTTTTGTCAAGATTTCGCAAGAGCGCGCGCGTAAGCGTTTTTGGAAAATCAGTGTTGCGAAACCCTGTGCTTGTGTGTTATTTGGAAACTAGATTTTGAAATCCTCCCGAATCCGAAGATTTTTGAAGGATTCCTGCATGCGCGCGCGACGACGCGCGCGTCTGCTCTTCGTCTTTTTTTTGGCAAGGGATTCGTGGAAACTTATGGTTATTCATAAACGCGAATGCGCGCATAGTATTTTTGCAGAGGATGGCGGGGGGGAGTGATACCGGTTTGGCTGGGATAGTATGAGTTCACATTTAGGATGGACGATGGGGCAGACTCATATGCAAACTGCAATACGAAAAGGTGGATCTTAAATTCCGGGGGGGGGTAGAGTCCGTTCTCTTTTTAGGAAAGAGAATCTACGTGGTGCAAGCTATGCTGTGCCTGGTATGTTTTGCAAGCTATGTTCTGCAAGTGCTGCGACGGACGGGAATGCGGCCGCCGCGACCGCAGACGGGCCTTCTATTGGGAACCGTTCGGCGGCGACGGACGGGCGGGAATGGGGCCGCCAGGCTCGCAGACGGCGCGCAGCTTCTAGAAGGCTAAAGGGAGGCAGGTGAGCACCCCGAAGGGCAAGCACTGTTTTGGCAATCTATACACGTGTATGCTGGTCAGCGTGGGCGCCAACACTGTGCCTTTAGCAGCACATGTTGTTCAGTTTAGGTGGAGAGAGTTACGTGGTGCAACTCACTCTGACTGTCTCGTTGCTGTCCTCTCCGCTGGTCGTGCAAACATCCCACCCTCGCACCCGCAACTTGGTCGCAAGACCTCTTAAGACCGTGACAGTAGGTACCAAATGGCACTTGGTAACGACACCGACGCCGACGACGACAGCGACAATGACGACGACGACGCCGCCGACACCGACTACGACGTCACCGACGACGTCTCCAACGACTTCGACGACAACGACAGCGACGGTGACGACGACGACGACGACGACACCGACGACGACGACGACAACGCCGACGACGACGACGGTGACAACGCCGACGACGACGACGACGCCGACGACGACTACGACGACGACGCCGACGACGACGACGAAGACGACGACGATGACGACGCCGCCAACGAAGACGACGACGACGAGGGAGGAGGGAGGACGACGACAGCGATACCGACGACAACGACGAGGGAGGAGGGAGGACGGCGACGACGCGAACGACGAAGAAGGAGGAAGGACGGGGACGCCGACGACGACAACGACGAGGGAGGAGGGAAGACGACGACGACGCGAACGACGACGACGACGGCAACGGCAACGAAATAGGAGGGACGACGACGAGACGCCGACGGCGGACGACGATGTCGAGGGAGGAGGAAGGACGACCAGGATGACGACGACGGAAACGACGACGACGCCAAGACGACGACGACGACGAGGAAAAACAGAGGACGACGGCGACGACGGCGACGACGAGGGAGGAGGGAGGACGGCGACGACGACGACGACGACGACGCAAGAGCGCGCGCGCACGCTTTTGTTGAACATCTGTGTTGCGAAACCCTGTGTTTTGTATATTTTTGGACGCACGATTTTGAAATCCTTTCGAAACTGAAGGTGTTTGAAGGATTTCGGCATGCGCGCGCGACGACGCGCGCGTGTGCACTCCGTCCGATTTTTTGCAGAGGGTTCTCGCGACGGCACGCGCGCAATGGCGTTCGAAAGATTTCGACATGCGCGCACGCGAAGCCCGTTTGGTAGTTTTTTGAACATCTTGAAAACCCGATGGTTTTCTGAAGATTTCGCCAGAGCGCGCGTAAGCTGTTTTAGAAAATCAGTGTTGCGAAATCCTGTCTGTTTCTACGTTGTTTGGGAACTCGATTTTGAACTCCGTCCGAAACCTAAGGTTGTTGAAGGATTTCGGCATGCGCGCGCGACGACGCGCGCGTCTGCTCTTCGTCCCATTGTTTGTAAGGGATTCTTGGAAACGGAGTGCGCGCATATTTCGCCGCTACGAAAATTCGGCCAAAATTCAACGCCTCCCGTTAGGCGACGGGGTCCGATTACAACGTTGGCAGTGGGCCCGTTAGGCCGCGGGGCCCCAGTACAATGTTCGGTTGAAGCATTTTTCGCTCCAGTCTCGGGCGGCGCCGCACTTTCGAAATCGAGCCCGCGGGTTTCGAAATCCAGTCGAGCTCGTTTTGGGGAGGAAGTCCTAGGCGAAAGCCACATTTCGAAATCGAGCCCGAGGGCTTCGAAATCCAGTCGGGCTCGTTTTGGGGAGGAAGTCCTAAGCGAAAGCTGCATTTTCGAGTTTCGGGCCAGGGCTTTTAAGATTTTGAATGCCAAACGGTGTGGCCAATTCGAAACGGCGGTTTCGCTTGATAGTTCCTCGAAACAAATATTTCGAACGATGTCGAAACTTCCGGGTTCGATTTCGAAATGGCGCTCCCGCCTAGTACTTCCGCAAAAATAGAATTCGAAACCTTTCTGCTTCGATTTCGAAATGGCGCTCCCGCACAGGACTTCCTCAATCAAGACTACGATCAGGACCACGACCACGACCACGACCCCTACGACGACGACGACGACGACGACGACGACGACGGTGCTCATAGGTTCTGTGGTGCTCTCAGGCTTTGGAGTGATGCTCATGGCCGTCGTGGTGTTCATAACCAATGTGATGCTCAGGCGTTGTTTAGCTGAAAACACAAAACGGGTCAAAACTTTCGTAGCGCCGATGTAGTGTTTTTTCCAGAGGATAGCGGGGGGGAGTGATACCGGCCTGGCTGGGAAAGTATGAGTTCATATTTAGGATGGACGATGGGCAGAATCATATGTAAATTGCATTACGAGAAGGGGGTGCGTTAACTCCGGGGGGGGAGAGTGTATTCCTCGCCGTGGTGCAATATGTGTCATGCCATCTATGTTGCGCCATCTATGTGGTGCATGTGTTGTGCTGGAACCGACGGTTTGAACCTTGCGTGGTGCAATACATTCTGCGCAATAGATGTGGTACAGTGTGTGTGGTAGAATCGACGTGGAACAATCTATACGTCGCAATCTACGTGATGCAATGGATGTTTGTTCGTAGTGAGTTGTCCACTGAGGGGGATGAAGCAGGGTCAGCAGGAGCAGCAGGCGCAGCAAGAGTATGACTTCAGACCGCGATCCTCCTCATCATCACCACCACCATCGTCACCATCGTCGTCTTTATCATCGTCATCATCATCACAATCACCACCATCGTCATCATCATCATCATCATCATCGTCAGCATCAGCGTCATCATCACCATTAGTATGATGCTACTGGTGATGACGATGATGATGCCGACGACGTCGCCAACTACAAGGAGGATGATGATGAGTGTTGTGGTGATTGCTTAGGTGGTAATGTTGGTGATGATCCTGATGACGATGATGATGAAGAGATGATGATGGTGATGATGCTGGTGACGATGCTACTGACGATGCTGACGATGATGATCGTGCGTATGGTGCTGCTGCTGATGATGATGATGACGATGAGGATGCTGCTGATGATGACGATGCTGGTGATGAGGCTGTTGATTATGACGATGAGGGCGACGAAGATTATAGTGATGCTGCTGCTGATCGTAAAGATGACGATGCTGGTGACGGCGATGGGTGTAATTGCTTGGACGATGGCGACCATGACGATCATGACGATGTTGACGACGATGACGATGATGATGATGACGATGATGTTGGCGACGATGATGATGCTGATGATGATGATGGTGATGATTATGATGGTGATGATAACGATGGTGGTGGTGGTGATTATTGTTCATGGCGATGCTGATGATGAGTATGATGATGATCGTGGTGGTTGTGATTGATAATAATGATGATTGATTGTGATGGTGATCATGATGAGGATGGTGGCTGTGGTGATGCTGTTGCGGCTGATCGTGATGCTAAGTATGGTGATTGTGTTGGTCATGTTGCCGCTGATCATGATGATGATGGTGATGATGATGATGCTGGTGATGATCATGGGCCTGACAGGACGACGCTGACGACCATGACGATCATGACGATGATGATGTCGATGACGATGATGTCGATGATGCTGGTGATGATGATGACGATGATTATGATGATGGTGATTGACTCTGGTGAAGATGATGATGCTGATGATGATGAGGATAATGGTGGTGGTGACGGTGATCATGATTACGAGTTGGAGAACGAGGTGGAGGAGGAGGAGCTGAATTAGGAAGACGGACGACGACGACGACGAGATCGTCACCGGCTGCCGCTGGCGCGCCAGGCCGACAGCCGGGGCCTCTTCGACTACAAGAGCCTTGCCAAGAGGCCCCCCCCGCGCCTCCTTCTGCGCGGCGCGGCGCGCGCGCGCCCGGGGCAGCCGCCCAGGCCCTCGCCTGGCGCTGCGGCAGCCAATGCCCTTCCTCCAAGAGGGGGAGGAGGAGGAGGAGGAGGAGGAGGAGGAGGAGGAGGAGGAGGAGGAGGAGGAGGAGGAGGAGGAGGGACAGGAGGAGGAGGAGGACGACCAGTGCAGACCCAAGATCATCATCGATGTTGGAATACACCCTCCCCCCGAGCTCCCTCTGCACAAGATCCTGCTTACAAGGCTGCATGTCCACTGAGGGGAGTGCCCCGTTGGGAGACAACCTTTTTCAACATTTTGAAGCGTGCCAGTACACCATTCTCGGAATTTCAACGCCACGAATCAACCTGAATGTTGCGTCTTGGGGATCCAGAATCGTGCCAGAGTGCCATTCGTGGGACTTCAACACCGCGAGTCGACGTAACTGTTGCCCCCTGACAATCTTGAATCGTTGCAGCACGCTGTTTCTGGCACGTTAGCCATGGGAATCCCTAGAAGTGTTGCAACGGTTTAAAAAACAGGGTACGCGGCGCCAGAGCGAGAGCGACATTTTGAACAGGAGCCGCCCTCAATCCGTGCAGCTCGAATGTGCGCGGCCCTAAGGCGTGGCCCTCATTTTGAAAGCCGGCCGCCATCGATCCGTGAAGCTCATACAAAGTTGTAAAACGAGTGTGCGCGGCGCTATGGCGGGAATCACGTTCTGAAAACCGTCCGCCCTCCATCCGTGAAGCTGTTGCAAATTCCAAGCTTCAGGATCAGAACTGGTGTGGAAGTCTCACGGGAAACGCCTGGCCCGCATTGTCGACCAATTTCGGGGCGCAACAGAGTGGAGTTATGTGAAAGGAAGAGGAATAGAAGACGAGGAAGAGACGGACGAGGAGAGGAGGAGGAGAGGAGGAGGAGGAGGAGGAGGAGGAGGAGGAGGAGGGCGACGAGGAGGACGAGGAGGCGGCGCTCGGAGTCCCGTGGAGGTCCTCGGGGGGCCCATGGAGACATTCGGCGGCCGCGCGCGGAAGGGAGACAGGGAGGCAGGGAGGCAGGCGGGGAGGCAGGGACGGAGGCCCTTCCTACTTGACTCTGCCTCCTCCTCCTCCTGCCTCCTCCTGCCTCCTCCTCCTCCTCCTCCTCCTGCCTCCTCCTCTTCCTCCTCCTCCTCCTGCCTCCTCCTCCTCCTCCTCCTCCTCCTCCTCCTAGCCGTTCTGGCTCAGGCAGTTGTGGCCTGAGAGCGCTGCCGTCGGTTCTTCAGAGCGGCTGGGTGGCAGCGAACCATCTTGGTACAGGGCCAAGTCAATCCAGCCCACCTGTCGTGCGTCTCCTTGGCCGGTGCGGCTGTGTCTATTTCGACAGCCATGGCTAACCAGCAGCAGGATGGAGGTGATCCGAGGTCGTGGAGATGCCGATTCTGCATTCCACCCCCGACGGGGGAGAGGTTTTTCAATAAACCTTCGGGGGACGGTGACTCCTTTGACGAAGGTGAGCTACGTTCACGTATAGATGACTTGCACAAGCTGCTCGAGTTGGCGGGTAAGGCTTCTGGTGTGCAATGGACACGCCTGCGCGATTCTCCAAAAGCAGACAAGGAGGCCATCCATGCGCGCATCAGCAAGCGCAAGCCTGTTTCAGCTCAGATGTTCACAATCAGTTGGCAGATGGCGACGGAATCGCAGCCCATCGAGAAGATTAAGCATTTGATTGAGCAGCAGAGGGCGCACATGGCCGAGCTGCAGCAGAAGCTGGATGCGTCGATCAAAGACATTGCGGACAGAGAGCAGAAGTATGAGGAGCTGCGACAGAAGCAGATGGAGCTGGCCAAGGCAGTCATACATCCGCCACAGTAGGAGCATGCTCAAGATGGTCTGGCACCATTGGAGCGCTTGGTCTCGACCGTGATAAGCTGGGCACCATCGTCAAGCAGCTGGGCGCGGGCGAAACCCCCATGCAGATGGCAGAGGAGATCGCCAAGGAGCTGCCGTCGATCATCGCCAACGCGCAGATCCAGGTCGTGGTTTTGCAGAGGATGGCCGAGACTGTGGCAGACGCGCAGCGCCAGCAGCTCCTGCAACAGCACTTGGCGGATTCGGAAGGGCCCAGCCGCGAGATGCAGCCAGGCTCCTCGGTCGTCTCAGTGCGCGATGCCGACGCTGGGGAGGTGCGAGAACAATTGCAGCAGGTTGGTACCGAACCGGAAATTGACGCTAGTGAGGAAGAAGCCCGACGGGAACCATTTGCTCTCATGGCGCACAGGATCCAAAAGTGCATTTGGCACGTGCTGGGTTTGTCTTCTCCAGGTATCTTAATATGATGAGTTGTGCAGTTGGCAATACGACGAGTGCTATTGAGTTTGGAGTTGGTCGCAGCATCCCTCGACATGACGGAAGACATGGGTGACATGGAAGCGTCATGGTGTTTTCCTGAATGGTGGCGGTTCTAATTTTGGCGTTGAAGCTGGAGAAGGCGCCTCATGTCTTTTTAGTTGATTGCCAGGCTGACCCGCCATGCGTGACCAATCTGGTCATCCCTCCTCCCCACGCGGCGCGTCGCGCGGACTCGAACATGTTTGTTCGGAATCATTGCGATGGAGTCGGCAGCAGCTTGAAGGTCAAAGGTCAGGTTACCACGGCTAATGTTGATAACACTGGCCCGCTCTTGAAGCACATGGATGATTGTTGATCCGCCATAGTGTTGGTTATATTTCTTCGAATGCAGCGGCGACACCGCCCACTTTCTATTGGTGCCCAGCCCGCAAGACGGCGACCGAGTTCTTGGAAATGATTCTTCACCTCTGAACATGTGTCTTTGGCAGCGAGTGGGATGATTTCTTTGCGAAGGCTGGTGCGTCTTCTCATGTTGTGGCTCTCGCTCTTGTGCTGCATTATGAGAGTTTTCTCCAGGACGCCAGGATGAAGGCTTAGACCAATGGTGTGCGTGCAAGATGGCTCACCGTGATGCACTGAGTGATATACCCGCGCGGCTCGTGATTGTTCAGGCCCCCGCGGTTCTTGTGGGTCTCACGACACATATACTGATTGTGTTGGGTCCACTGTTCTGATGTAAAGATCGCTTCGCTATCGCTAGGACCCCTGCTAGTCTAAATAAGTTGTTGCTGTCAGTGTGCTCGCCGACGGCCCAACAGATGCTCAAGGCCTGTGGGGACCTCCTTTAACAGAGTGCCCCACCTCTTCGGACCCGTGCTGTGCCGACGGCGATAGATATATCTAATGCATTTCTCGGTGACGAGGGTTCCGATCACGCGAATCACGGGCCCGAGGGTCTCAGTGCGCCGCTTGATGAACAATCGTCGACTACAACGGGCACCAAGTCTTGGTGACCCGTGTTGCGATGGTGTGCACCTTGTTCGGTTCCTATCCGGTGTCTTTTGGACAGGTCGCCAACTGCAAGCTTAGTGGTGATAAGTGTCTAGGCCCCTCCGAGCACCCCCCAGCCCGCAGCACGCAGCGTCATCACGTGTCGCCACGCCTCGCGCTGGCACGGCCCAGTCTGACTTCACGCGCGCCTGTCTTGCGTGACGCGAGCTTGGCCACAAACTGGGCCGTGCTCCCGTTATCTTATCGGTTGCACGACTCGGCCGCCTGTTGGTCCTCCTCCTCCTCCTCCTTCTTCTCCCCCCTCCCCTCCCTCCTTGGGGTGGGGGCGAGGGAGGGGGGGGAAGGAGGGAGGGGGGGAGGAAGGGATGGAGGGACGGGGCGAGGGGGGCAAGGAGGAAAAGGGGGAGGGAGGGAGGGAAGGAGGGAGGGAGGGAGGGAGGGAGGGAGGGCGAGGAGGAGAAGGAGGAGGTGGAGGAGGACGAGGAGGAGGATGAGGCGGAGGAGGAGGAGCATCGAGAGCCGCACGGAGGCGGGGGCGCACCCGCGGCACCGCGACGAGGACGAGGCGGCCGCGCCCGCCTCCCCCAGGCTCTGTGGCGCGCCGGCGGCGGGTCGTCCGCCGGCGAGTGCGGAGTAGCCCACTGCTGAAGCGCCGCTCGCGGGGCCAGGCGCCGCCGCGAGAGGCGCTCCCGGAGGGCACCGACGACGAGCGGCGGGGGCGACGTTCGCCCGTTGGGGGTAGCGGGCCCTGCGGGAAACGGGTCTTGAGGTTTTTCGCCGCTTTCGGGCTCTTGGTGTCCTCCACGGGCCCCGGGGCTGATCTTCCTCCAGATCATCTGGATATTATCCCAGATCTTCCTCGAGACCTTCTTCTTGATCTCCCCTACCCCCCGATCTTCCTCCAGATCTTCCCCAGATCATCCTAGATCTGCCTCGGATCTTCCTCCAGATCTTCCTCCTGAAACGCCTCAGGAGGAAGATCTCCTCCTGGAAGCCCCAGTGTCCAGGACGAGCGACGCGCGGCGGCGGCGACGTCGACGAGGAGCGACGGCGGCGGCGGCGCGACGGCATCGACGAGCGACGAGGGCGGCGTCGGTGACGGCGGCGGCCGACGGCGGTGGCGGTGGCGGCCAAGAGCGGCGGTGGCGGCAGCGAGCGAGCGGCCTCGAGGGGCGCCTCCGCCCTTGAGCAGGGGCCCGGCGGGGACGGGGCGCCTGGGAGGCGGCTTGGGGGGGAGGGCTTCCGCACTCCCGCCGGCCTTCCCGCAGAGAGTGAGAAGTGGCGGATGGTGATGATGATGCTGATGATGATGATGATGATGATGATGATGATGATGATGGTGATGCTGATGCTGGTGATGGTGATGGTGATGGTGATGGTGATGGTGATGATGATGATGATGATGATGATGATGATGATGATGATGCTTATGATGATGACGATGATGATGATGATGATGATGATCATGATGATGCTGATGATGATGATGATGATGACGATGGTGACGGTGTTTTGGGCGATGCTGGTGTTGCTGATGCTGATGATGCTGCTGATGATGGTGGCATGGTGGTGAGGACGAGGTGATGCTGCTGCTGGCGATGATGATGTTGCTGCTGGCGATGAGGGTATTGTATGGATGGCGAGGAGGTGGTGATGGTGAGGGTGTTGTTGCGGATGCTGTTGTTACTTGTGATGTTGCTGATGCTGGTGTTGCTGATGACGATGGGGGTGGTAATGGTGATGGATGGGGCTGATGATGGTTGTGATGCTGATGCTGATGATGTTGATGATGATGATGGTGATGATCATGCTGCCGATGCTGCTGCTGATGCTGATGATGATGGTCGTGATGGTGGATGAATGGAGTGTGACGGTGATGTTGATGATGAGGTTAATGGTTTTGATGGAGATGGTGATGTTCATAATGGTGGTATTGATCATGATGATGACGACGATGATGATGATGGTGGTGATGAGGATGATGTCGATGCTGATGTCAATGAGGACGCGGATGCTGATGCTTATGGCGGTGATGCTGGCAGTGGCGATGATGCTGATGATGTTGATGATGATGCTGATGATGATGATGTTGATAATGATGTGGTGATGATGGTGATGGTGATGATGATGCTGATGATGGTGGTGTTTGTGCTTATTGGTGAATATTATGCTGTTGATGGTAGATGCGACGATGATGACGATGCTGATGCTGATGTTGATGATGCTGATGCTGATGCTGATGATGAGCATCATAATGGTGATTATGCGAATGATGGTGATGATGGTGATGGTGATGATGATGTCGTTTATGCTCATGATGCTGCTGGTAATAATGGTGATGCTGATGTTGATGATGATGACGATGCTGATGATGATGATGATGATGATGATGATGACGTTGATGATGATGATGATGATGTTGATGCTGGTTGGGCTTATTGATGAACCTGCTGCTGATGATGATAGAGGTGACGAAGATGACGATGCCGATTATGATGCTGCTGATGCTGATGCTGGTGATGCTGCTGACGACGACGACGATGCTGATGATGCTGGCGGCGATGATGGTGATGGTGATGGTGATGGCGATCGCGATGGCGATGAACATGATGAAACCGATGATCATGTTGTTTTTTGCTTTTGTCGAGGATGATGATGACGACGCTGACGATGATGATGATATTTATGGTGATGATGATGATGATGATGATGGTGATGCGGATGATGATGATGGTGATGATGATGATGGTTGTGATGATGGTGATGATGGTCATGATGATGATGAAGATGCTGATGATGATCATGATGATTCTGATGATGATGATGATGATGATGATGATGATGATGATGATGATTATGATGATGATGATGATGATGATGATGATGATGATGATGATGATGATGATGATAATGCTGATGATGCTGATGATGATACTTAGGAGGAGGAGGACGACGACGCGGATGATGACGATGGTGGCGATGGTCATGATGATGCGGAAAAGGAGGAGTAAGATCGTGAGGGGAGGAGGAGGAGCGGAGGAGGAGGAGGATAATAAAGCTGCGTATGCTGATCAGGAGTGCGAGGAGGAGGAGCAGCAGGACGACCAGGAGGATGGGAAGAGGAGCATGTGGCTGGTGATGGGGAGGATGGCAGGCCTGGCCCCGACCCGGTCCGACTCTGATGCCGTGCTCCCCCCTTCCGGTTCTGGTCCGAGGCCGCTGCCTGGTGTTGGTTCCGATGGCGATTCGATCTCGGCATCCCGGTACCGATCCCGGTTTGGTGCCCTCGACACCCACCGAGTTTTCGGGGGCGGCAAGGAGGGGGGTGATGACTAGGGATTGGTGGATATCATGGCGGGGGCCATGATATTTCCCCAGATTTCGTGGCGCCTCTTCTTATTTCATTACGTCCCTGGCCCCCCCGCTGGGCCGCGCACATGCCGCCGGTCATGATTTGCACCCCCCCCTCTTGGACACCCCCTTCTTGTCCGCTCCCGATATGATGTTCCAACCGACTTGAGCCTTGATCACCAGAAAGAATTTCGAGCACCAAACAAAGTGCCGAAACGCGAGCGTTTTCACGTGTCGGGCCCTGGGGGGCACTCGTCCGACACTCTTTCGATACGTTTGCGGGTGCTCGACATTATTTTGGGGATGTGGTCCTTAAGTACGATGGGAGCAGCATGAATCTCGGCATCCCGGTGCCGATCCCGGTCTGGTGCCCTCGACTCCCACCGAGTTTGGTGCTGATTCCGACCCCCGGCTTACGGTGCGTCTTCGGGGGACCTTTTGCTTGTCCAAAAATTGGTGTCTGTTCTTGTGCCCGATGCGGGCTCGATGCGGACTGGACGCGGATTTTGCGTGGATTCGACGCGGATTCGACGTGGCTTCGACGCTGATTCGACGAGCGTGACGTGGTTTCGACGCGGATTCGACACGGATTCGACGCGGATATGGTCGCGACAGGACAGGCGAGGTCCCCCGAAGATGCAACACAACCCCAGCGCCAGCGCAAACAGTTTTTTGAGGACGAAGAATCTGTTCTGATCCGACTCCGGCCTGAAGACGCCGAAAACGAAGGCGACGATGGCGACGACGACGACGACGACACCCCGCCCTGGGCAAAGGGACCTCAGCAAGGGCCAGCCCCGGGCAAAGGGATCCGGTCGGTGTTCTCCTCCGCGTAGCCTTACGTCGGGCCTGTCCCTCTACAGGGGGAATATGCAAAAATAGTGAACAAATAGTCTGGAGACGATTTGTACGACCATCGTTGATCATTTGGGAGTATGTTTTGAATAATTCTTTATTTTTCGCCCAAAGTCCTCCTGTAGGGGCACACGCCCGACTTAAGCGCAGCCTCTCAGCTCCAGGCCCGTTCGTGCACCCACCTCGGCGCGAGCGCGGGTGCGGGCTGGTCCTCCCGGCCCCTGCCCTTCTCCCTCCCCGCCCTGGGCGGATCCTTCGCCTCCCCATGCCTTGTGGAAGTCGATTAATGGAGAGGAAGCATGCTGCCAAATAATTTCCAGATGTCAAAAAACATGTGTTGAACATGTCTGCACCATGTTTAAAAACATGTTTAAAACATGATTCTGACATTGTAGACACACTTTAAGTTCAGCGAGAGGACTGTTAGAGTGTCCATTGTCGTGGTGTCCACAACCCATGCCCGTCGTCGTGCAGCGCAAGCACCCCGACGTGTGGCCAAGCCGAGATGGTGATCGCCCGTCGGCGCCTCTTGGCACAGGCCTGCGGGGGCCGGCCCGGCCCATGCGCCTCAAGCGTGGCCAGCGGCCCTCTCGTCGCTCGCTGGCCCCTCGGCCAGCATCCAGCGGAGCACGAGGACATTGTCGTCGTCGTCGTTGTCGTCGCCGCCGCCGCCATCGTCCGCTTCGCCGCCGCCGCCGTCGCCGCCGCCGTCGCCGCCGCCGTCGCCGCCGCCCGTCGTCACCGTCGTCGTCGTCGTCGCCGTCGTTGTCGCCGTCGTTGTCGCCGTCGTTGTCGCCGTCGCCGTCGCCGTCGCCGTCGCCGTCGCCGTCGCCGTCGTCACCTTCTTCGTCGCCGCTGTCGTCGCCGTCGTCGTCGAGCGCGCACCGCCGAGCGCCGGCGCGGTGTGCGCGCGGCCCGCCGAGCGACCCCATGTGCGGTCGGCGCGCCGCGCGCGCGCCCGGCCCGCGCTCCACCGGAGGGCGGCGGCCTCTCCGCGCGCCGCCGGGCAGGACAAAGCGCACAGCGGCGTCGGCCGCGGCGGCGGCGGCGGCGGCGGCGGCGGCGGCGGCGGCGGTGGTCATGGCGGCGGCGACGGCGGTCGCAGACATCGGGCGTCTCGAACAAAATCGAGACGGAGGTTTTTCGTCATTTTCGGCCTCTCGGGGCCCTCGCCGGGTCTCGGGACCGTCAAGAGACGACTCGGGGTGAAAAACCGGTCCCGGGGAAGTGGTCGGGAGGTCGGGGGCTCGTGTCTCGAAAAAATCGAGACGTCGGATGTCTGGGGCCAGGGCGGCGGCGGCGGCGGCCCCAGGCCCCCTCGCGTTGTGGAAAAATCGCGACGGGAGGTTTTGCCAGCGGTAACGTGCTTCCTGCTTTATATTGTTTGCCCTCCACGGGGGGTGCTCCCGTGGCCACAGCAGCCACGGCGAGCAGCGCGGCTC